CTTTAGAACCCAGATAAGCTCTGAGACCCAGCCCAGCTCTAGAACCCTGATGAGCTCTGAGACCACACCCAGCCCTAGAACCCAGATGAGCTCTAAGACCCAGCCCAGTTCTAGAATCCAGATGAGCTCTGAGACCACACCCAGCTCTGGAACTCAGATGAGCTCTAAGACCAAGCCCAGCATTGAGACCAAGCCCTGTTCTAGAACTCAGGCCAGCCTTGAGACCAAGCCCAGCTCTAGAACCCAGAAGAGCTCTGAGACCAAGCCCTTCTCTAGAACCCAGAAGAACTCTGAGACCAAGCCCAGCTCTGAGACCAAGCCCTGTTCCAGAACGCAGACTGATTCTGAGACCAAGCCCAGCTCCAAGACGAAGCTAAGCTCTGAAACCAAACCCAACTCCGAGCACAAGCCCAGAACCCAGGCCCGCTCTGAGATGAAGCTCATCTCTAGAATCCAGCTGAGCCCTGACAGCAAGCCTAGCTCTGGAATGCAGACAAATTTTAAGACCCTGGCCAGCTTGGGGACGAATCCCAGTTCCAGAATCCAGGCTAGCTCGGAGGCCAAGCCCTGCTGGAACACTCGAGCAGACTCTGGAACTCTGGACTCTCGGTCTAGCTCCAGAACCCCAGTTAATTTTGGCACCCATGTGAGATTCATGAAGCAGCCCAGCTCTGGAACCCCAGCCAGCTCAGGATTCAGAGACAGCTCCCAAATCGAACCGTATTCAAGAACTCACACCAGCTCAGAAACGCAGACCCGTGCAGCTGCCCAGTCTAGATTCCAACCCCAGCCCTGCTCTAAAACCCAGCTGCATGCAAGTACCCATCCCTATCCTGCAGCCCGGTCCAGTTCCAGTGATGATTCCAGCTCTGAGACTGGGCCCAGCTCTAGAACCCCACCTAGTGCTACAACCAGGTCCAACTCCAGGATTCAGACCAGCCCTGGAACGCTGTCCGTCTCAGAAGCAGGGCCCAGCCCCAGCACACAGCTTGGTGCTGAGCCCCGCTCTCCCAGCAGAACGCAGATCAGCTCTAGAATGCAGTTTGCTTCCGGGACTCAGACTCATTTCGAGGCCCGGCCAAGCTCCAGAGCTCAACCCAGCCCAGGCACCGCAGCCAACTCTAGAAGTCATCTCGGTTCTGCAGCGCAGACTGGTTCTGAAATCCCAGCCAGCTCCAAAACGCAGACAGTGGCCGAGACCCAGCCAAATTCCAGAATCCGGCTAAGCCTTGGAGTCCAGTCTAGTCCTGGGACCCAGGACATTGCAGCAACAGAGCTAAGCTCTGTGGCCCTGAGTTCCGACAGTAGGCCTGGCTCCAGGACCCAGCGCTGCCCAGGAGCTCAACCAACCTCCGGGACCCAACTCACTTCTGGAACCCTGCCAGGTTCTAGATACCAGCTCCAGACCACAACCCCAGACAGCTCTGGTATTCAAGTGGACTTTGGGAAGCAGCCCAGCTCTGCGACCCAGTTAAGTTCAAGAATTCGAGCCAGCTCTGGAAGTCAGCTTAGTTCTGGAACCCAGCTCAGCTCTAGAACCCACGTCAGTCCTGGGAGTCAGTCCAGCTCTGAAACCCAGACCAGCTCGAGAATTCAGCCCGATCCTGGAGCCCACCTTAGCTCCAGAACGCAGTCCAGCGCTGAGACAGGGCTCAGCTCAGAAACCCAGACCAGCTCCAGAATTCAGCCCAGCTCCGGAGCTCACCGGAGCCCTGGAGCCCAGCCCAGCTCCGGCACTCACACCAGTTCAAGAATCTGGCTGAGCCCTCGAAATGGGCTGTGCTCACAGACCCCTGGCCTTGACCCTAGAATTCAGCTTGAGGCCCCTGCCCCAGCCGGACCTCAGCCCCCAGGCCCACCCCCCAGAGCCCCCACCACAACCCCTAGCAGAGACCCCCAGCCTCTGCCTCAGCCCCATGATCAGGTCCATGGCACCCAGGTCAGCCCTGGCCCCATTCCAGGCTCACCCCCAGCCTCCTACCTGGCCCCTCAGCCACAGGCCTCCTCAACCCCCCAGAAGCCAGCCCTTCCCCCAAAGCCTGAGCTGGGACCGCAGAAGTCCACCCCACCCACCATATCTGTCTCTCTTGGCCCCACCCCCAGGGCAGCCCTCCTGAGCTCCCACCCTTCTGAGTCCCCAGCGCTGGCTCCTGCCCCTTCCCCTACTCTGGGGGAACCAGGACCCCTCCATTACTGCAGGGGGCTGTAGACTGGGGTGACTTGGCCCTGGTTCCTGTGGTTCCCATCCTGTCCTGTCCCTTTCAGCTTGTTCCCCCAGAAGCAGCAAGTGACCTTATATTCCCAGCAGGCAGTGGCGGGGGTGGGGGCGGGGTACGGTGGTAGAATCAGGGGCTTCGGTTTCACCGGGCCTGGCTCACATCCAGGTCCTGGGAGGGAAAAGGAGGGGGGAGACATCCCGCACCACATGTACCCTGAGGCTCGTGGTGAATAAAGGCGCCTCCCATCTCTGGAGCCTGGTGTGTCATTTTGCGGGGAATTAGGGGAGCGCGGAGATGTGGGTCTGGGGCTGCTGGCTGAAACTACGCTGAGCACCTCCTGACCACCTACTATGTACCAAGCATGTCATTAAGCACCACGCGGGCATGAGCTTTCATGCCTGCACACGACGGGTGCTCCATGAAGACCCAGACGTTGGTCCTTTCTTTTTCTGAGACAGACTCTCACTGCATCACCCAGGCTGGAGGCAGGGGCACAGTCTCAGCTCACTGCAGCCTCTGCCTCCCGGGTTCAACCAATTCTCCTGTCTAGGCCTCCCAAGCAGCTGGGACTACAGGCACACGCCACCACGCCTGGCTAATTTTTTGTATTTTTAGTAGAGACGGGGTTTCACCATGTTGGCCAGGCTGGTCTCAATCTCTTGACCTCGTGATCCACCTGCCTCGGCCTCCCAAAGTGCTGGGGTTATAGGCATGAGCTTTCACAACTGGTCACTTTTTTTTTTTTTTTTTTTTTTGAGACAGAGTTTCCCTCTTGTTACCCAGGCTGGAGTGCAAAGGCGCGATCTTGGCTCACTGCAACCTCCGCCTCCTGGGTTCAGGCAATTCTCCTGCCTCAGCCTCCTGAGTAGCTGGGATTACAGGCATGCGCCACCATGCCCAGCTAATTTTTGTATTTTTAGTGGAGACGGGGTTTCACCATGTTGACCAGGATGGTCTCGATCTCTTGACCTTGTGATCCACCCGCCTCGGCCTCCCACAGTGCTGGGATTACAGGCGTGAGCCACCGCGCCCGGCCAAAACTTTTTTTTTTTAAGCGAGTCTCGCTCTGTCACCAGGCAGGAGTGCAGTGGCGAGATCTCAGCTCACTGCAATCTCCACCTCCCAGATTCAAGCCATTCTCCTGCCTCAGCTTCCCGAGTAGCTGGGACTACAGGTGCACACCACCACGCCCAGCTAAGTTTTGTATTTTTGGTAGAGAACAGGGTTTCACCATGTTGGCCAGGATGGTCTCAATTTCTTGACCTCGTGATCCGCCGGCCTCGGCCTCCCAACTTGCTGGGATTACAGGTGTGCACCACCGCGCCCAGCCCACCCACTTTTAATAACATGTAGATTCCTGGCCGGGCGCGGTGGCTCACGCCTGTAATCCCAGCACTTTGGGAGGCCGAGGCGGGCTGATCACGAAGTCAGGAGATCGAGACCATTCTGGCCAACATGATGAAACCCTGTCTCTACTAAAAACACAAAAATTAGCCGGGCCTGTAGTCCCAGCTACTTGGGAGGCTGAGGCAGGAGAATCGCTTGAACCAGGAAGGTGGCAGTTGCAGTGAGCTGAGATTGCACCACTGCACTCCAGCCTGGAGACAGAGCAAGACTCTGTCTCAAACTAAAAAAAAAAAAAAAATATATATATATGTAGATTCAAGGGTGGTTTGAATGCAGAGTCCAGGACTAACCTGTAGCCCTTCTGCTACAGGTTCCCAGGAGAATTCTTGGCAGTGCCGCCCAGCCCATCGGGTGATTAGGGAGGGGCAGCCACTTCCCCTCTGTCCCTCCGCAGCCTCCCCAGCCCTGCCCTCCTCTGCCCCAGGAGAGGTCCAGTGCACAAAACCCCAGAGACTGATGGCTTTTGGACCCGAAGGAAAATAAAACCAAATACAGAGATATATTTTGGCAAGAGAAGGGGGGTGCCCCGTTCACACGCAATCCTTTCTGGACACAGGCTTCCCGGTTGGGGGTTCAAAAGGAAGCAACTGTACCCCAGCAAGCAGGTCAAATTCGGGGTCACAGAGCAACGCAAGGCCGGGTGCAGTGGCGCACACCTGTAGTCCCAGCTGCTCAGGAGGCTGAGGCACAAGAATCGCTTGAACCCAGGAGGCAGAGGTTGCAGTGAGTTGAGATCATGCCACTGCACTCCCACCTGGGCCACAGAGCGAGACTCCATCTCCTAAAGAAAAAAAAAAAAAAAAGGCTGGGTGTGGTGGTTCACACCTGTAATCCCAGCACTTTGGGAGGCTGAAGTGGGAGGATCACTTGAGGTCAGGAGTTCGAGACCAGCCTGGCCAACATGGTGAAACCCCGTCTTTACTAAAAATACAAAAATTAGCCGGCCGTGGTGGCATGCGCCTGTAATCCCAGCTACTCAGGAGGCTGAGGCAGGGGAATCGCTTGAACCTGGGAGGCGGAGGTTGCAGTGAGCTGAGATCACACCACTGCGCTCCAGCCTGGGCGACAGAGCAAGACTCTGTCTCACAAAAAAACAGCAATGCAAGACCCTCTGCCAATGTCCCCATGCCCTTCCTGGGGTTGGGAGGAGAGCAGAGGAGGGGCGGGATCTCCGAATGGGAAAAGGGGGCTGAGGGAGGGAGAGATCTTGGTAAAAGGATCAGGGAGGAGTTGCGGGTCCCCAGTTTGGATTGGGGTCAGCCCCAAACCCTGCTGCTGATGCCCACTGTCCAGCCAGCACCCCCAGCTCTGAGACCCTCAGAATAGGCAGATAGGCCGTCGGAGGGGACCCAGGGCTCCTCGGGGATGTGCGGGAGGGGCGCTCCTTCCCGTTCCTACTGCAGCCTGGAGCCCTGCGTCAGCTGGGGCTGGAGGGATAGCGACCTGGGCCGGGTGCTGAGGCGAGGCTGGAGGCGCCGGATGACAGCGCGGCGGAACAGGATGTACACCCAGGGGTCCAGGATCTGGTTCCAGGTGGCCACTCGCAGGTAGATGAGCAGCTCCTGCTCCGTGGCACGGGACAGCTGCCCCGCAGGGCTCATGGCAGGCGGGCTCCGCAGCACCGTTTGGGCGATGAAGACCTGCAGAGGGCAAAGCTGTCAGTCAGGACCCAGCCTGCAGCCCCGCCGGCCCGTTCCTGCCCAGCACCTCCTATTTCCTGAGTTCCAAGGTGCACTCTGTTTTTTTTTTTTTTTTTCTTTTCTTTTTTAAGACGGGGTTTCACCATGTTGGTCGGGCTGGTCTTGAACTCTCAACCTCAGGTAATCCGCCCACCTTGGTCTCCAAAGTGCTTGGATTACAGGTGTGAGCCACCACACCCAAGCTTTTTAACTTAATTTAATTTTTAGACAGAGTCTGGCTCTGTTGCCCAGGCTGGAGTGCAGTGGTGTGATCCCAGCTCACTGTAACCTCTGCCTCCCAGGTCCAAGCGATTCTCCTGCCTCAGCCTCCTGGGTAGCTGGGACTCCAGGTGCTTGCCAGCACACCTGGCTAATGTTTGTATTTTTAGTAGAGACAGGGTTTCACCACGTTGGCCAGGCTGGTCTTGAACTCCTGACCTCAAGTGATCTGCCCACCTCAGCCTTCAGGAGTGCTGGGATTGCAGGCATAGGCCACCATGCCTGACCGGTGTGTACTCTGTTACAGCATTGCTGGGTGACCTCAGGCAAGTTGCCTAACCTCTCTGAACTACTTTTGATGGGACCATAAATTAGCACAGTCTTAGCCAGGCAGTGGGTCGCTGCTGTAATCCCAGGTCAATACAGGTCAATGGGGAGGATCACTTGAGCCCCGGAGTTCAAGACCAGCTTGGGCAATATAGATCCCATGCCTACAAAAGGTAGAAATAAATTAAAAAGTTACCCGGGCATGGTGACACTCCAGCCTGGGTGACAGAGAAAGATCCTGTCTCAAAATAAATAAATAACATTTTCATTTTTATTTTATTTATTTACTTTTTTGAGATGGAGTTTTGCTCTTGTCACCCAAGCTGGAGTGCAGTGTTGTGATCTCGGCTCACTGCAACCTCCATCTCCTGGGTTCAAGCGATTCTCCTGCCTCAGCCTCCCGAGGAGCTGGGATGACAGGTACCCACCACCATGCCCAGCGAATTTTTTTTTTTTTTTTTTTTTTTTTTTTTTTTA